GGGAAAAGCAATCTAAACATCTGAAGGGGAATAACCTGGCTAAATAAAATATGGTATAGTCATAGGATAGATTACTGTATCGGAATTAAAAGAAATAAACTAGATATAAATATGGATCGATCTCAGTAACATCTAAATGGAAATAGCAAGTTGTAGAAAGTTATAAACAGATTATATCTATGTATAATAACAATACTATACATTTTCTGTGTCTATATATGTGTATAAATATATTTTTAAGGGTTCAGAAGAATCTATATCAGCCTTCTAACAGTGATTAGTAGGTATAGATGGGAGAGATTGGGGTGGAAACCATGATTGGGAGGATAGTCAAAGGAAACTTTAGCTTTATCCATAATACATTAATTCTTTTTAAATGAGAAGGTATTCATGTTTCACATGTTAATTTAAAATATGTGTTTTATAAATCAATTTAATTTAGCTACTATTTATATACATTAAAATGCACCCATTTTAAGCATGTATTTCATTGGGTTTTGACAAATTTATACCCCTGTGTAACCACCATCACAGTCAAGATAGAGAATATTTCCATTGCCCCCAAAAGTTCCCTTGTATCCCTTTGCCAATCAGTTGCTCTAATGTCAGACCCAGGCAGCTACAAATCGGAATTTGTCATAGAAGAGAGAAATAAGTGGAAATTAGGAGTGAGGTGGAGGAATTAGGGGAAGATAGAATAGGATAGAGAAAGGAAAAGGTCTAAAAGGCGTAACCAGAGCTCCTTAAAATTCAAATTTTTAAGCATAGTATCAACTGTTGCAAACTATCCAATAAAATGTAGAATGAGATCAAAGAGGCATTTGTTTGATCCTTGAATGAATTGATTTTCTATCCTCAGCTGTTTGTGTTTTGGCTCTTTGGATTATGAGCTTGAGAACGTGTCTTCATCATAACCCCTATGCCTGGTACTAATAGTTGTTAATTTGTTATTTTAAATTTTGACGAAAGCATTTCACATCCCTGTCACTTAACATCTAGTTTTGATTTCCAGAGTGCTGCTATGAATAATTACTGTAGCTCCCATCCATCTTACCCATCCATTAAGTCCTAGCTTCAATAGAACCTTCTCATCAACATTTCTTATCTACTGGCTGTAAATAATTTTCTCTTCTGAAGTCTGTTAAAGGCTATAGTTAATGTTTACTGAGCACTTACTATATGGCTCAGTTTTTAAAATGTGCATATAAAATTTACCATTTTAGCTATTTTTAAGCGTGCAGTTCACTGGTATCAAGTCCATTCATGTTGTTATGCAGCTGTCACCACCATCCATCTCTAGAACTTTTTCATCATCCCACACTGGAAGTCTTAATGGGTGCCAACAATAACTCCCCCTTCTCCCAGCCCCTGGTAACCACTGTTCTTGTCTCTATGAATTTGACTATTCTAGGTACCTCATTAGGTAGAATCATAGAATATTTGTTCTTTCGTGTCTGGCTTATTTCACTTAGCATAATGTTTTCAAGTTTCATTTATGTTGTAGCAAGTATCAGTATTTCATTCTTTTTTAAGGTCGAATCATATTCTATTATATATACACCACATTTTGTTCTTTCATTCATTTGTTGGTGGATGCTTGGATTGTTTCCACCTTTTGGCTGTGTGAATAACGCTGCTTTAAACATGGGTGTTCAAAT